TGGAGCACTTTTGTCCCCGGTAAAAAACCGCTCGCACTAAATACCCCAAGCCGTGGTATACTTTTTAAAAACAAGGCTGGATTATCTCCTCTATTGATAGTGAAAAAAATGTCTGTAATGCCCAGCAGTCTGCTCTTTGTTCCAAGTATGGTCTTTTGTTACAAGGCCCAGCTCTTTTGTCCCAATTTCTGGCTCCTGGCTTCATGTATAAAGCCTATGTGCTTGAAAATGGGTCCCCCGGCAGCAAAAGGTTAAAGGAGAAAGAGACAGTGTCCAAATTAAGCGGCTACAGCCAGGAGTAACACATGCATATATGGGAATTGGCAGCAGCCGCTTGCCAGTGACTTTCCATTGGTGTAAATTTTATTTCAAGCCACAGCTCAAACTGTTGGACTGGACCTGAAGATCAGCTAATGCACTGTACAAATCCCCGAAAGTGGGCCTCAGCCCGACTAAATGATTAAATTGAGATGGGCTTGTGTCTGTGTAGCTCATGGTCACTCAATTATGCTCTACTGGGAAAAGAGATTGGAAGTTATATTAGGTATTTTCCTTAATTTTTACTTCCTTAAGTATATGCCATTACAAATCCTTTACAGTATAGATTGGGAATTTCTCCCTCGGAATCTGACAGTTAAAACCACTCAGTATATTTTTGTTACTGGTCAGTGAAATGCATTCAGGTTAAAATGTAAGCACATCAGTATGAACAGTGTTTGTTGTTTACAAGACTTTGTTTATGTTTGACGGGCAGGGCAAGATGGCTCTGATGGGATGTAACAACTGTTTCTTGTCTTGTAACCAGCACGATGACATCGTGGTATCCAGCACCACAGCTGGGCCGGAAGAGATGATTAAGGTCAGTCCTATTTCACTAGCTTTTGTCTGCAAGGTTGGTTGAGAAGATAAAATCCGTTGTGAAGATGAACTTACAGCCAGTTTTTGATTGTAAGTTAGGGTGGGACCATTCTAGTGTAGTGGATAAATACTGCAGTCATTGACATAATGTCAGCAAAAATGAATTTAAAACAGTGTGATGAAATCCGTATTGAGAAGATCAACCCATTGGTAATAATCTTCTAAAATTGGATTCATTCTGGGCCCAATTTTGCGGTGCTGCCTGCTAAGTACATGATTTTACGCTAACAGAGGCTCCTTGTATCTCATGGAGACTATGCTACGCAAGCACAGCCAAAGGCACGCTTACCTTCTGGGAAAAATTTGCTTAACTTTGTGATGTAACAATAGCAATCTCCATGCTCACCCATGCAATTTTTGTGCTGAGCGCAGGAAGCTTGAAATGTTCACCGCGAAATACACTTGCCATGAAGCAAATTGTTGTGCTCTTGTTAGCAATGAAATAGCTTAAAAGGAAGCTCTGTGACATTGGGCCCCGTTGTCATAGCATGACAATTTTGTTTGCAACTTTCATCTCGGATGTGTTCCCTTCATAGATCCGTTCCTGTGCACCTCTCATCAAGAAAAAGAAAGACAGCAGACCAGCTGAGGATAAGGGCGACATAGAGACATGTGAGATCAGCTACGTGTAAGTCACTTTCACACTTCCTCGGGCTCTACACATGCTGGAAAGAGGGCGCTTTATAGATACGGGGCAAGTCCGGGCATAAGCTGCAGTTGAACCCCCAGTCAAACATTGCTTTTTAACAATGCACACTTGCACAACAGTCACACTGGAATGACTCTAGTTAAACTTTTTTGTAAAATCTCATCACTGTTCACATTTGGCTGTTAGCTGCCATCTTGTACAGTAATGTGGTCCCCACCCTGGTAAGTAAAATCGGCTATTGATCACCAGTGGTTCAACCTTGCCTCGGGGGCTGGTTCCGTACGGTTATTGAGATAGTGCAACCTATTTATGGTGATGTTAGTTGAATTATGGTTAATATGCCACATGTAGTCATCACTAGGAGCATAAGTCGTCATAATTTTCAAATGATGTGTTGAATTATCAATGCTTAGGTTGTACATTAGTTGGGAATGCATGTACATGGGTAATTCAAGAAATTAGGGGTCCATTTTTGTGTGTCCCTGTCACATCTGATATATGATTTTGTAAATTCAGAACACATTTTCTAATTTCCAAGAGTAATGAATTAATGCAAATTACTTGCCAAACAAATAGTAATAGTTTGAAATCAATTCTGGTGGTATTTCCATGTCAAGTAACAAAGGTCAGATGCAATAGGGACAAGAAAATGGCACTTTTGGACCCCTAGTTTCTGGATTTACCCACATCTTTTGCATTTTACAGCCATCTAAATCAAAATCTCAATTTTTTAACCCAAAAGCCTTAAAAATAGGGAGCTGACATTTCTTGTACGAAAACAAATGGCAATTTTCATACTAATTCATTACATGTGTCGAGATTCTTTTCTGTGGAGGTTTTTCAGTTGTTTCTGTTCCTTGTCCAACAGCAAAAAATTTCAGAGTTTCCAGGACCACAAGCTTCGAGTGAATGAAACTGACAGACAGGGCCTCAAGGAAGCAAGAGTAACAGGGAAACTACACGAAGCCTTACTTGACAGGTGGGCACAGTATCAAAGTGGTGGCCTCTTTTCCAGAAAACCCTGTGTGTCTTTAAGTTTCCAGAACATACATTTAATTTGCATTTTAGAAGCTTATGTATTGCTCACTTTTGAAATATCAAAGTCAGTTGAAAATCTCTACTGAAATGTAGGAATCAGTTGTTATTTAAAGGAGTCCTATGGGAAGGCTTTAAAATCCTCCCAACATCACTAAGAAGGTTTTCACTTGCAGCCACAAGAAAGGCAAGTCTTGAAATGAAGGATTGACTCCCAGTTTTTCTTTGTTGATGGTTTTTCAAATCTCATGTTTTTTCTTTCATTTCTTATTTTCACAGGAGGGAGAAGATGAAAGCAGACAGATACTGCAAATAGCAAACATTACAACACAAGGACTCTTCATAGGATTAAGATGGGGTTTATTGCCATCTGCCTTTCACATCTTGGAGCTCCATCAGTGGCATATGCCAAGGAATAGTGGCCTGTGACTCATCACTGCACTGTGCAAAATTCACCGAAGGTTGTTGGACTGTACCACACTATCGTTTCGTTGGTCGCAGCACCAAGTTCCCTATTGTGTGCTTATAGTCTATACACTGTTTTGCAGCTGGCCAAGCGCGAGTTGCATGGTGACTGCAGTATGACGGAAGACTCTATTCCTTTGAATGCGTACATTTCTTCTTAAGGACCTCCACGAATCCATCAAATTCCAACACTAGGCAGAAGAACCAATGGTGCATTCCTTGCCCTTTGACGGATTGGAACATCAAGCCCACATCAATTCATGGTTCCTGGGCCCAGCAGAACTAGCGCCTTTAAAATCACACATAACCAATGGTTGATTTTTGGATAAATCTGAATCAGTTACAGCCAAGAAACCATGCAGTGTCATGACAGTTTAATACAACTTTCTGTAAGCAGTATACAACTGTACAGCATACGTGTATGTATAATTCCGTAAAGGAGTAATTTTTAATGATGCCTTTTCCACGACTGTTAGAGAACGGTGTATGTCTCCTTGAAAAGCCTGAATCGTGTTGGGCGACTGCGGTAGTTTCTTGACTCTCACTGTACCTAATATTCTCAAGTTTTTAAGAGTTTGCAAAGAGCAGTGAGAATTTTTTCGGATGCACAAAACTGATGGGAGTAAAGAGGACTCTAGCAAGTTAGATTCAAATCCTCAACTGCTTTCTGTATGATTTTCCTTTCATTTTCCCCAATTTTGGAGCAGATTTCTTCAACAGGACTTAAAAATCAGCAGGATTGTTGGCCATTTTAAATGTGTCAATAAGGACAAAATGACCCGTGTGTTTAGTGGGACGACTTGTGTCACAGGTGTGTTGTAAGACATTGAAAACCCGCCCACTTCCTCACAATGCTAACTTGACTCGTTCTGAACGCAATAAACAAGTTGCTTTCAGCATCCCATCAAGGTATGAAGCACATGCAGGACCTTGGATTCCAATGGAGGTGTGCAAGGTGTGTTTTGGACAGTCCATGACACCAATAACGATGCATCAGCCGTCACCAATCAGAACTTCTAGTGTTTCCACCTGCAAGTGAAGTAGAAAGAATTGTACCTGCTGACGTGGAAGGTGCTTCATGAGCTGTCCAGTGCTTTGTTCTTGAAGTGCTAACTACAATTCATCTCGATCAGCCTGCGGACTTCCCAGTGGAAAAGCAATTTCACCAAAGTCGCGCAACACACTACCAACTGTTACATCGGATACCAATCGGCCAGCAAACCCCAGTAAACTCAAAAGCTCAGCAAGCAAGACACCTGCACGAGTAAGCAGGATGTCCTGGCCAAATGTCCCACTCAAGTAAACCTTGTGAAAGTTTTTCTATCAAGCTCTTAAGAAAGCACTGCAGACGCAGTACTGATAAAAACTCAGAGACCAGCACCCAGAACCCTAAACATAAGAACACATTAAAGGGCATTAAGGCTTTGATCAGGATTGAATGGAGGGTATTTCCTCTTACAAGCAAGACCAGTACTTCATGTTAAATTTAAACACATCATACAAAGGTGATGTAACAAACCACAAGGATAATGTCATACCTCTTTCTGTCTGATCTTGATATCTTCCAGAACACTGTTCAGCTGAGACTGGAATCGATCCTGCCAAGGGAACAATCAAGCAATAAAAACTCATGTTCTTGGTCATATACATGAACTTACAGTGAAATCTCAGTGAGTCAAACCTCAAGGGAACAGGCTCAAAACTTGAGTTGAAACAGGGTTGTAGATCGGTTACGCAGCTGCTGGCAATGGACCCTTTTGTATGACTAGAACAGAAGTTTGGAGCTATCAGAGTTTGATCTGTCAAGATTTCACTGTTCTTCCATTTGTGTAAGAGAGTCAAAGTGTTTGGGGAGGTGTAGTGAAGTAACACAGAATGAGCAGAGCAACAACAGCCAGTGGCTACCATAGACCTGTTTTAGCCACAGCCATAGTTTTAGCCACAGTCATAACGTGGACACAGCCTCGTAGTTGGCCAAACTTTTCTCCCAACCATTGAACACTTTAAAACGACAATTTGCCGTCATTATGTTGGGTCCTGCTGTAGGTAACATACCTTGAGTAGCATGTTATCCACTGTGCTGATGGATTCCTCCAAGGCTCGCTGTTTCTCCTCCAACTCGGACAACTCCTTGCGCAACTCATCCAATCGATTCACAAACTCATCTGAAAAAAAGCAGACAAAATACAAAAGGACCCCATATACAACATACAAACTATATACAAACTTGTTCAAATCCATCATATGAGTTTCAACTTTATTCAATTCTGGATATCTGTCAGTTGGGATGGAAATAAAAAGCTACAAAACAAATTTTATGTAAAGAATAAAATGGGTGTATACTGGGAAAAAGCCTGGCAATGCATACTGCTCCTTTACAGGAAAAGTGATGCATATACATGTACATAATATTGGAGTCCTACTCAACAACAGTTGTTAAGACAAACAGTATGTCAAGTGAGTTTTTGAATTACGTGACGGTAAGAATGCTCTCGTTATGAACTCGGAATCTTCCCAACATCTCAGATCTCTCCGTTGACTTACTTGGCTGTTCACTCTCCTCCATGCCCATCTTGGAATCTTCATCCTCCAACTCATCTTCCACCTCCTCCTCCATCTCCACCGGCTCCTCCCCCATCATCCCCGAGTCCCTGGTGTCCTCGTCCATGTCTAAGATGTTGATGTCCTCGTCTTCGTCCTCCGAGCTGCTCACGTCACCAAAGATGCGGGTTAAGTCATCTCCCTCGGCTGATGAGAATGAACAACAGATATCAAGACGGTCTTAACGGTAAATTAAGCTGTCTACTCCACGTAGCAACTACTGGCAGCAATGAGGAGCTTAGCCTTCTCATAAGACGCTACATGACGGTCATTGTGTGGCGTTAACCAGATGCTGATAGTGTGATCCATCCTGACAAAATGAGTTGCAAACCACTTTGGAGTAATATGCCACAGACGGAATCTTGCACAGTAAATCAATAGAGTCCCTAAACATTTTTCACCCACGATATCCTTATTCACCAGAATGCCAGAATAAGTGATACATTCAAGCAAGGAACCTCGGGTCACGCTTTCTGATGCAAATTAAAACAAAATTAATGGAAACGAAAATAGCCTTAAGATTCACGTTTTTGGATTCGGTCAGAAATGAAGGCAAGTACATTACAAGTTCACTGCATCGTCACTGTGCATTGACGACATATTTTCAGAGAGGAGACAACACAAAGCATGACCATATTAGGTGCGGGAGGATGTCTTGCAAACCCAATATGATGCACCAAAAGGGATTGGAACAAAGGGTCACAATACATGACTCACCCGAGCCATGAGATACACCCGGCATATTTTCATTACGATTCTCATCTTTGATGTCTTCCTCTGCTAGCACCTCCCATCCTGAAAGCCGGCAAATTGCCACAATTCAGGAAAATAATCACAAAATCAGTCCAAAAGATGCATGTATAAAAGCTTCAATCCTTCGATCAAAAGACAATTTTGCTTGTAGGCGTATGTGAGGACCTTAATAAATGCATCCCTGGTCTCATTCAACTCAGCCCCGCTCTTTGACTTATCAATCCAATCTGGTGATTCTTAGCCAGCCCAACGTCAAAACAGGAAATCTGCTAGGTGAACCCACTCATAGAAAGATTTTGAATACAACATTACACATAAAACAACATGCTGAAGCACACATTGAGATATTGCGAGCTATTTTACATCTTTGTGGGAAAAGCGAGATGTTTCCCAGGTATTAAAGGATACGAATCTTGATGGCTGTGCTGTCCATGCGCAGTAACCTTTTGACCTCTTCCTCCACATCAGGAGCCTCAATATACTGCCACAGAAAAAAATACCAATAAATGCATTGTCTGTGCTTGAGACTGAGGTTGACAAAAGCCAAGGTTTTATTCTATGAGCAATTTCTTGAAGTACATACTTTTTAATCAAAGCCCATTTACATGCAGACTTGAACAGCAAAAAAGAAAACACTACAGATAAAAAAAGAATTTTTCAGTTACGAATGATCACGTATTTCAAGAAAAAGTCACAGAAGAATCCTACACGTTTACAGAATCAACATGTTGATGGATTTACCTTTTTCTTGGCTGTCTTTCTGAATCTTCTCTTTCGAACATTCTTCAGCGGGGGCGTGACTGAAATCCACAAACAAGTCCAAAATTGAAAGTGATCTTTCCTTGGTTTTCAGTTGCGCATTGAGTTTTTTACACATGAATTTTTTTTCAAAGGCTTATATATACCATTGTAAAAACATAACTTAACCACTTCACCCCGGGTTCAATTAAAATGGCCATGCACAAATACGGGCGTTTTTCATGATTTTCCCTTTCCAAAATTCTTCAAAAATTCATTTTTTCATTTACTAGACGTTTACACCAACATGAATGACTGTCTGGTGTCTACTATAATCTAATCTGACAGGCAACATCTATTGACGTCCGTGTATTTCAGGTCTGCTGCCTTGTAAAGAGAGCCCAGATAGTGCAGTGTTGCATGATTTTCTTTTGTTCTCGAAATTAGAGCAGTTCACTGCTGGCTTCTTTTTCAATGGGGCCAGATTGGCGTGCAGGGTATTGTGTTGCTCAACACTGCAGCACTGGAGAGCTTTCGTCCGTGGTTGTAATCCTTCGTATTGAATGCCACAAATAGTGGTATAGTGTTCCAATAAAGGACGGATTACCTCCGCTATTGCCAACTGAAAAAATGTTCAAGTCCCAGCAGCTCGATCTTTGTTCAGAGTGCGGTCTTTTGTTACAAGACCCGGCTCCTTTGTCCGATTTCGGGCTCCCCGGCTATGCATACAAACATAAGGTACCCTATACCGGGTCCCCTGGCGCAAAGTGGTTGACTTAGCTTTAAAGCCAGCTCACGACTTCAGCAGCAAACATGACATTAGCTTCTTATGATTTTTACTTTGAGATAAACACAGCAGCCACATTGTCTACTGGAGCAACGGCAACTCAGCAATTGGTCATCTTTCTTGGTTTCAAAATGAAGCTGGAAATAGACTCCAAACGTGAGCCACAGCATGTATCATTACAGATTTTAACTAGTAATTGTTCCTGCACAAGAGGTGTGCTTCAGTTACACTGCTGGTACTCTGTATGCTTTTGAAATGCAGTTACCAATGATGGTGATTATTTAACTCACTTCCATGGTTGTACATGAATTTCTTATCAACCCGATCCGGCCTCTTCAATCCTTTCTCTTCCAGTTCTTTCTCTTTCATTTCTGTCTCTATGGCTTGCTCCTCGGTGCTGCATACGAGCATCTATTGAGTAAACAATTCAAAAGCCATAACTGCACGGACAAAAGATGGCAGCATTACCATTACAAATGGTGAATTCCGGCTCCTCTTCCTGCTGCATGGCATCGGTCTCAAGAACCAGTGCCGAGGGCTGTCATTTTGCTACTGACTCCCACCCTCCTCTGCCAAGGTTCACAAGACATGTACCTGTACAAGGGGCCAGGAAAAATGGTCTAAAGCATTGCCCTCCGAGGTTTGTGGACCCCTTGTAGCCTGGTTGGGATACCCCGTCTTGCGGATGCAAATGTACATGCATGTGAAAGTATAAATACTTATTCATGTATATTGCTTCCATACCTCAGTAACTACATGTACATGTACTTTGAAGTGGAAACTGGATTCTCCAAATTTAATTTGATTAAAACACAACATACTGTGTTTCCATGGTAACTGAACTCATCCATAATTTTACTTGAATTTTGAACATAAATTATTTGTATTGTTTATCTTCTACAGGTGATGAAGTCAGGTGATGAAGGTAGTCACACCTGACAAATGTCTGCCGTTTTCCAGAAGGTTTTCTTGTCAATGGTCTTGTGAGATTCCATGATGCTGGGCAAGTCCATGAGCTGAAAACAAAATCAGGAAAAGCATAGGCAATTTTACTCAATGCTAGTAATTTTTTAACATATTTAAAGACTCATTTTGAGAAGTAAAATAGAAAAATATTTAAATGCATCTATGCATTCTTTCTTGAAAATCACAATCACTAGTTTCCAACTTTCCTTCAAAGAAAAATTTATCATTCCATTTCAATCCTCTCATAACCCTCTAAAATTTACAACTCAAGAAATGGCTACAAGGTGCCACAGAAAAAAATATATTCAAAGCACTTGTCAACCTGACGAAATTTGCAAGTTATTTTAGAATTTCCTTACATAAAATGTATTTAAAATGTTCATACTTTGGCTGAATACACTTCATCGTTAAACTTGACTGTTCCATGGCGCATGTCACCTGTAACAAAAGAACAAAAATACAATGTCACTGGTTGAAAAAAAAGGAGTTAAATTTGAGAGTAAAACAACTTGTTAATGTAAAGCCACGACCACGGAGAGACTTAGTATGAACCAATGGTTTTCAGGTGACTTTTACAGACAGCCTCATATCCAACATGTCACGCAATTAAATTTTTTAAATCAATAAGCCTCTCAGATCCTTCAAATTCCACCAGGAGGTATTGGAGGATTCTGTGGGTTGAAGGATGGGGGAGCCCTGCCACTGTGTTGGACTTCACACCTGGGGCGGATCCAGGGAGCATGGTGGGTGCACGCCCCCCTCTCCCTTTTTTCACCAAAAAAGAAGAGAAAGATAGAGGGGGAAGAAAATAAAGGGAGGCACCCAGCCCTGTAAATGTGACTAAGGCGTAAAAAACAACAGTGCAGCTTCTGGTTACCCAACCTCCTTAATTTTATGGATGACCCCCAAAGTTTTACTTTATGCCCCCTCTTTTGGAAAATCCTGGATCCACCCTTGCACACCCCTTGGAAGTTAAATACACAAATACACCGCTGGTTTTCTTCACAGTGAAAGATTTTGGAGGATTAATACAAGAACATAATGCCGGAGCATAATACAGGCAAAGGTTCAATATCTCGGTTGTTATGGATAACTCACCCATCATTTCAATGGCAAGTTTGTCCTTCAGAATTTGACTGCCAGTGTTAATAATCTTCCTCATGTCACCAACTGCATGCTACGAAAGGAAAGCAACAGCAAAATAACATTCACAAATACCTTAGACAGTTTCCCTAAATTCAACAAGGTGCAATGTGACAGTACATGTATTTGCCCACTGCAATTTGATAATGCTGGCTGCATAAAGACGTCCTGTTACCTGGATAAGAGACAATTTATCCATTCCTATTGGTCAAGAGTCTGTGTGTGCCGTGGTACCCAGAACTTGCCACACAGGTGCCAAGTCCACATAAGGAGATTCTTCTGGACTACTTGCACAAGGAATATACCATAAAATGGACGGGGGTGTTCACGCAAATGAAAGTACAATTCTTGACCCAAGCCTTGGAAATTGTTGCATTTGACTTCTTTTCACTCTCTGACTAAAACGGTATTTATGAATAGGAATAGCTTTGTGCTATTTCTGCTTGGAAGGAGACTAAATGCCGATACATGTAACGAACCTTGCCTACAGCTCGGGCATTAGTCGTGTCCATTCTCCTGAGCTGGTCTTGAATGCAGATCAGCCAAGCACACATTTATTCCCTTATTAACTTAACCTACTTTTTTGCAGTCCTCCTTTGCTGTATCAGCTCAAAATATCAGAACTCTGAATAACATTTTCAACTCTTTCCTTTGTACATAAATTGAAAGATCACTAGAAGCAACAGACTTGAAAGGATTCACACACAGTCCAAGTGTTGCATGATAATGTGGGCACCCGAATCATTGTGGGGACACAAAAGTGTTTACAAAGCCTTACTTTCAGAGCTGCAGCTACCATACAGTGTACGTCTACTGTCAGCATCTGCTCCATCTGCAACCCGCAAAGACTTACATGTATGCCTAGTCCTAGACACACTGCAGTCAAAAGTGACCTTGGTCAAAATAAATTGGTTCCTAATACTCCCGATGATGCAGTGCCAGTCTACGGCCTACATGTATCTTATAATACCCAGACCTGACAATAGACCCTATTCACATGGAAGCCATTTTCAATGTACCCTGAGTCTATCATAATCAATGTAATCTTATGAATTGGATGGTGCCAGACTATCTGGGGTACCAAGGCTCAGTCTCGCTTTTCAAATGTGGTTTAAACCATTTAGGTACGATTTATCACAAACTCTAAATTATTCTAAACAAACACTGGCATTAATTTGTAAGCTTTTATTTAGTTGCCATTATTTTTACTCTCAGGTTCTGAAAATGAAAAGTTTCAATTCAAGATGGCAGAGAGTGAACACAGTCTGGTTCCCTGTTGTGTATAAACTGTAAGTCTGGAAACCATCACAGGCAAAAAGATGTATGATGTAATGCTTGGGGTGCAGCTCACATGTGTTTGTTAGTTTTTGTTATGCCAAAGTGGCAATACATAATCGAAAGCACTTTTAGCCAAATAATGTTAAGGGGTTCAAATTATGTGGCATGTGGTGAAATCAGAGGCAATTTGCACCTGGACATTTCCAAACATTAACAATTTCCACAAATGAGAATGGGCTAAGAACATTTTGGAAATTTTTAGAAACAAGATAACATCCATCGGTTTTGGGCACGCAAAAGGGGCAGCTACATGTACTTGACTTAAAGATTCTATCGATTAGTCAGAGTTGTGGTCTGGGAACTAGGCTAGGGTTGGCATCTACATGTAGTTCACCTCACCTCAGGCATACGGAGTATGAAGTGATTCTCCAGCTCTGGTAGTGGGTCCTCCTTCCGTTGTGTGGCTGGGTTCACTTTGGCCGTAGATCCCGCTGGCCGGTTGCTGCTGGGCGTTGACCGGCCGCTGCCACCCCCCTTTGGTTTGGGAGTTCCTGACCTGTTCAGATATCATATACATTCCACCGAGTTAAAGTTTACCACAGCACCCTATAATCTCTCCTTGGAGTGTGTATTGATCTGAAGAGAGCTACATGTAGCGTGGCACATGAATAACTCAACATTTCAAAGAGTGTGCTCTGTCCATTCAAAATTCGTCATTTTTATTCAGTAACCTTGGGTTCCAGTGGATGAATTGTTTCCAAAGTTTGTTCTTTCTACAGTGTCCAACACAAGTCCAGTACTGTCCCACTTTTGTCAGGGCTACAATGTGTGTGTTGCATGAACATTTGGAAACGATCGACTTTTCAGCTCCAAAACAAACAACCCCTCACACCAAACCAACCACCTTGACCTTTCGTATTTTCGACGAATCCTCTATGAACAGGAAACTGGTCGCGTGTACTTAGCGTGTCCTGCACACACAAGTGGCGAGTTCCGACCAACGGACCATTTTTTCTATGTAAAAATTGACCCTCTCGTTTCCACTGGGAGCAGATTGATCAAAGAGGAATGCTGTGCATACCTACCACCTGGCAATATGCCTGGTATCAATCCCTTCATGTTACATAATTCTGGTTGTATGATTAGTGTATGGTACAGATCTTGACACAGAATTTCGTATCCACATGTAAAGCATTTGTTTGCAAACTGCTGGGCTCAGTTTGTGAAGGGTTGTCGACATGGTCGAAGCGAATGCAAAGAAGACAGACTTTTCCGACCACTTGTCATGAAAATACCTACCTGCTGCCATTTCCCCCTCGACTTCCGCCAGGCCTGCTGCTTGGGCGACTGCTTGCTGGTGAGTTCCGGCGTACAGTGGCTGACGGCCGACTTTTAGCCTTGCTCGGATTCTTCGTCTTACTGCTGTTGCTACTCATGACTCAATCTGCATGAACGGATGCAAAATTAGATGTACCAGTACATGTGCAATACTCGCTATTAAGCCTATACATGTAGATGCCTTGTTGATGTTAAAGAGTAGAGCCATGTGGTGCAAGTCACTGGTTTGAAGGGGTGCATATTTCCAAAAAACTACTCCATGTACATGTATGAAAAGAATAAAATCTTAGGCCTTCACATCGTTCAAATTAACGTGTCCAATGTTAAAAATTGCGATATTGCTATCACCGACCGTGTCTAAATGTTAAAGAGGTGATTCGTACCTTAGCGTCTTACTTGTTCAGATTACACAAAGGTTATGACATGAGTATACTCGCATATAGATTCCGACTTGAAATATACATGTACAAGTAGCTTAGTGTACCCTTGCTACCTCAGTAGGCCAACAGAATTTTGGGCAAGGTTAACAGTCTCGGGTACTAACATCATTGATGATCATGTGATTGGTTTTACATTAAGTAGGGAAATTAGGGACCTGGGGACAGCATGGTCATGGATGTTAGGCAGTTAGGGATTATGTATTTGGAGACTGTGTTCCTGTATTAGAAAGGAGAATTTGGACCTGCCGAGAAAGTGACAGTAAGCATGGTAAGTCATGTTTATTGTAAGCGTGAGTAGGATGCCAGACAGCTCGATTCCCCTGCTTCCATTTAAGAAGTGGGGGAGTGCGGCAGAGCACACAGGCACGCAATGTTGCATGCGATGTTGCGAAGCTTTTCACAAACTTGTAAATGGTCAAGCTGATACCGGATGTTTGTGACGTTGTGCAGGATCAGTGAGTGATGCATCGTGTAAACAGCTGAAGGCTGATGTACAACTCGTTTTGTGAAGAGAGGCAGGATGGTAAGTAAATCATCTGAATTTAGCCAAAAATAGTTAAATGAAAAATGATCCAAATACCATTGGGCATACGATGATTCAAACAGATTTTGACAGCTTTTCGGGCATGTCGGGGGAAGATTTGATTGGGGAAAGTGCATTTTCATCAAGAAACGGAGGGTCACTGCAACGCTGCATTCAAAGTCCCATACCATAGCGTCATGAACCACATCAGGAACCACAAAGGCAAATGGAAGTAAGTCTATCACCAATAGCTTATTCACGGACCCCAACGTTGGTGATGCTATTTATATCCTCTTTTTGGAATCACTGTGTGACCACATCACCTTCCACATTAATAATACAATTAAGGTACCGGTACTTATGGAAAGATTAAAAATATGATTTCCAGAAAACCCTACTTTAATTGACACTAATAACTTTGAATTCGCAGTAAAACTGTTTGCCACACGTTTATTCGACCCACAAAATGACATGGCGACATTCACAGAAATCCCTATTTCAAACAAAAGCTGAGAGCCCCCCTCCCCGGGGTTGGGAGAAATTCTTGATCGCTCCCCCATAATTTCCAGATTCATATTGTATACGAGATACAGATATTTGAAATGGTATGTTATTTCCCCAATAACGTAACCCATAAACTGTCTAAAGATGCCTGAAGAGTCAAAAGGTCACAAGTAGGGCCTATTTAACCTATTAACCCTCCTATGCTGAAGTCACTCTTTGGGTCATTTGGTGAACACCTCAAAGAAGCACAGCTGTGTTGTGTTGTGCACTGCACCAACAGTCCCTCGCAGGAATATCAG